CGGGTTTGTCAATTGTTTTGTAACGGTGTGGCGGGATTTTTGAAGAAGTTTTTAGAGTGAAAATATTTATAGAACATACCTCGGTGACAAGCGGGGTGCAGTCGTTGGTTTGGGCGGGTAGGGAAGAGTGACGGGAGGGAAAAGAAAAAAGGAGAAACTCGAACATGCACCGCTATCTAACGGACCGCGTTACGTAGTAAGCGTCCGTGCGCAAATAGTTCCTTAGTTTGTCTACTACTTTCTTCTCATTTTCTTTGTTATAACTGCAGTTAACATTTGCTTTTTCGTTTAAATAAGTATTTATAACCTAAATACGTGTTTGACATCTTATATTTTTGTCTATTTTACAAATTCTTATTACAAACCAACTAGTAGGACGTCCGGAAGGGCGCAGAAATACTATCGATTATTATGCATATTAGCCTACGACTGATCATGTGATCTTTCAAGATGGCCGCGTACATTCAATAAGTGTTAACTCGAAGAAAATGGAAGATTTATGCGAAACAGTTGATAATTACGAGGAATCTATTAAAAATATAAGAAAAAGAGAATTTCCTCAATTAGAAGGTGTACTTTTCATTGCCAATTAAATGCTTACACTGTCCATTATATGATTGATTATATCGTTTAATTGTTTTATTTGCAATTTAATAGGTCAGTGTTCTGTTGTTTTGTAAAAGAATTACAAAAATAGTACAGTAGCCAGTAATCAACCACTTGTTTTCTGTAACTGATGGGAAAAAAACCTTTAAAGACTTTATTGCAGCCCTTTTATCTATTCGTGTTTTGATGATTACGCTTAATTGCTTTAAGTAAGAAACCTACGTAATGAGACCATGCTGTTACTTTGACAAAATATTAAAGAGCTATTTATCTCATTACTTTAGCATCTTTACTATCAATAGAACCATTGATCTTTCCCTTTATTGGTAGGTTATTTTCTTTTATTAAACGTCTCAATGGGTGTCCTTTTTTTATTGTTAAACCTAACAAATAAAGTCTAATTAACATATAAAAATATCAATTTTCTTATATAACACACTATTAACTTTCCATAATGTTACCTGTTGTTAAAATAGTTAACAACGGATTCTACTAAATTAATTAAAAACAATAGCTCCTTTATGGCCTCGTATTTCACTACTAATGCTTCAATTTCGCATCAGTAAACTTATTAAGTGCTAATTTAAAAAGCAAACGTTTAAAAATATCTATTCAAATTATAAATACGTTCAAGAAGAGAAATAAAACAATACAACATTCTCGCTAAAATCTATTGTTATTCAATTTTTGATTGAATAGATAATTGAAATTGATTATTAATTTTCTTTTTATTTTTTATCCTCCTTCCCTCCCTTTCACACACCACCCACACACACACATATATATATATGTATATATATATACTCTCTTTCTTCTCTCTCCCGTCCCTCCGCACACCCTCGGTCTACTTAATTGCTTAATTATACTGTTTTATATAATTACAGATTGGCAAACAATCTTAGGAGAATATTTTTTAGGCGAAAAAAAACGCAAAACAAACAATACTTTAAATTTTCTTCAAGATATTCTGCGGTTGCTATTGATTAAATATCTTGTTTGTTTTTCAATGTACACTTTGCCAATGATTCCGTGAGGGAAAATTTATGTAAAATTTGATATTATATATGTTTTTATCATTATATTTGAACCTAAGATGTTGGATAATTGGAAAATATTAAAAAAGAGTGAAACGTCTAGCTGTTATAATACTTATTGCCTTAAAAAAAACAGAAATGTATAAAATACAGACAACATTTAAATAATTCCATACAAAATTTCAGACAATCTAATTTGCTTTTATGTCTGCATTGTGTCATATAGGCCAAAAATCTTATATAGGGAAGGAGGTAGGGGAGAGGGGCAGAGAGAGGCTTACTCTTTCAAACGGAAAAATGGAATCAATCTAACCGTTTTTCTTTAGCTTAATATATTTTTTGTCTTAAATCTCCATCTTATATTATATTTGTATACAGTTTCTATAGAAAACTCGTAGTAAGCATATTTATTAAAGATGTTTCTCTTCTATTAACGCTTTATGTTTCTTTCTTTTCTCATTAGATAAAACATATCTTGATCATGCTGGTACTACAATCTACTCAAAGATTCAAATTCAAACTTTTGCGGATAATCTACAGCAAAATCTCTATTCTAATCCGCACAGTAAACACGAAAGTGGCGTGTTTACGTACGATCTTATAGAAAATGTCAGAGAAAAGGTGCTGAACTTTTTCAAGACTAATTCCGACGAGTACACCTTGATTTTTTCCTCCGGCGCAACAGCTTCTCTTAAATTGGTAGGAGAAACTTTTGACTTCCAGGATTCATCCATCTTCGCCTATCATGAGGAATGCAGATAATCTTCAATTTCATATATATAGTGTATTACAGTTTACGCTGTATATATTATATATATATATATATATATTATATAGGCTATAATAGTTTTCTATTGTTGTTTTTTAGAAACTTTAATCTTTACATTATTAAAATTTTAATATGAAACAAAAGGTGTTTTGAACACACGTAGTAGGTTGAAAATCTGCATTTCTATAGGATTGTCATACATCTGCCTTGGGAATCAGGGAATTAATGAAGGACAATGTGCGAATTGAATGCACTAGAACATTTGATTTAACAGGACGAGCCGGTTGTCATAATTTATTCATGTATACTGCTCAAAGTAATTTCTCAGGGAATAAGTACCCTCTGCAATGGATTTCGAGATGTCGAGATAATGGATTTTCTGTCCTTTTGGACGCAGCTAGTTTCTGCTCGACTTCACTCTTGGATTTAAGTGCTTTCAAACCTGACTTTTGTGTCGTTAGTTTTTATAAAATTTTCGGCTTTCCTACTGGTTTAGGAGCATTAATTGTAAAGGTTAGTTTCGATCCATTTTTCTAGGTCAAATTCTCTACACTCTTCGCATTTATCGCGTAGTCCCTAAAGTATTGTCTATAAATAACAAGTAGTAAAAAGAAAAAAAAACAGGAAGAGAATGGGAGAGGATAGAAGGATAGAGGGAAAAAATGAAAAATTTAGCAAAAAGGATAGGGAAGACGGGAATATGTATGTAAAGAAAAAAGTTTAAAAGAACAGAGAATAAGACACTTAACAGTTTATAGTAAAGTAGCTTAATCTTCCCTGGCGACAAATAAGCTGATATAAATAAAAAACAAATAATTTGTGAGTACAACGTATCAATAATCTATATTTAGTAATATAAATTGAACTATAAATGATAAACCAGTCACTTTTGTCACATAATATATTGACTATTCGTTTGTCTTTTTATTCCCCGTAGAAATTTTAATCTTTTAAAGAAGATAATCTGTTGGAACCCGAATAGAACATTGTCGATCCTCTCTCCTACTTAAATTCTTGTTTTTTTTTTCCCTGAGATATTCCCTTAGGATAGATTTTATCCTCACTTTTTCTTATTCAACTATATCTAAAATGCATTATTATCGTCCTTTAAACAGAACTCCTCGGATTATTTGCTGAAGAAACGTTACTTTGGAGGTGGTACTATTCTAATGGCTCTAACTGATACGAGATATCACGTAGCCAAAAAGAATTTACACGAACGGTATAAGTTTACTTTGCAGAAGGTTTCTGCTAATAGAAATAACTGTACAAAGAAGGTTGAAAAGATTTTTTTTTTCTTAACTAAGGATCGTTTTAAAACGAATTTCCTCACTTTGGGGATTGTAGAAAATCTTTTATATTATATATATAAGTATAATGTATACATATATTGAATATATATGTATATATATATATATATTAATATATATATACTGTATATATGTAATAAGAAAACTGAAAAAAAAGTCTCTATTTAAATATAACACATGTTTATCAAACAAAAAAAATCTTGGCATCTTTCTGCTTTTTTCTCTCTTTCACTCTCACTCTCTCCCTCTATATATATATATATATATAAATCTTTCTATATTTTAGCACTTTTTCTTTATTATTTATAAGAGATTAGAAAAGTTTATAGGTCCAAAAGATGTAGCACTAGGATTTTCAAAGTTTGCTTCTTTCACTAAAGTAAAACATATAGTCTATAGTTTACACTATATATGATTTATTTCTTATTGTGGTGTGCATATATATCTTTTTTGCAGCTTCGAAGACGGCAGTTTGCCTTTCACGGAAATATTAGCACTGCAACACGCAATGGTAGCTTTCGAAACTTTGACAGGTTGTCGTATTATATAAAATAAATATTGCATATTTGCTATATATTTTTCTTAATTTACTTCAGTTTGTCTGTCTTCTCTTTCTTTCTTTCTTTCTCATATTCTCCTTTTATCCCTCCTTTCTCATGCTGATATAAAAATATATAGAGACATATGCTATTGTATATGCAATTTCAACTGCATATGTTGAAATTCTTTCTTTCCCTTCACTTTGTTTCAGTTTCTATTTTCAATCAAATTTTCTTTGATAAAAAGAGAGATTTCTATTATTTGTGTGTCTTTTCTTACCTTTCTTTTGTTTCGATACTGTATTTTTTATTTACTTTCATTCTAATTACATTTATTACATTTTCTCTTTATACAAATACAAGAAAGATTTCTTCGCCTTGTTCTCTTCTTTTTTATATATATATAAACTTATTATTTTCTTTTATTTGTTTACTTTCTTAATATTTTATTTTAAATATACATTAATGCAAATTATACAGTATATATACAGTATATAAATATTCCTTCATTTCTCGTGTTTTGCAGGAGGTATACTAAACGTTCAGAATTATACTTTCAAGGTATTATTTATTGCCATTATTTTTAACATAATCGCTTACAAGCTACTTAATTAATTAATTAATTAACACATTAAATTATTATTTTATTCGTAATAGTAATATACAATAATAAGTTCCGTATAATATCGTAATCTCGTTATTAGACAATTAGGTAAATCCCAGTAAAAACAAGCGAATGAAAATGACAGGTGTAGCATTATATTTTTTTAACGCTAATGTTTAAGCAAAGATATTTTCCTACCCTCATTTTTTTTTCTTTTTTCTTTTCTTAACATGCATCGAATAGCTTTATCTGTTTTTCTTTTCTCGGCAGAGAAGAGATAATTTAGTTGGAAATCTCAATTATTGTTGGCCTTATTCCCCCCAATGTATTGCGAGGATTATTATTTGTGTTTTATGAAGGCCCAGAACGGCGCTATATCAGCGTTTCCTTTTACTATTTTTTTAGGAAACTAAGATTAGTCCTTAGTAACCAAAGGGACGAACTGCCAATCAGCAGCAATTAGGTCTGAAAGGGTAATCCAGAACACAATAGAAGACCTTGCATTTATCGTATTGCTTCATAATAGGCAGAGGAATTGTAGATAGATTCTTCCAACTCGACAATTATGTGAATAGAATTCAAAGGAGAAAAGAAATCTGAATTTAGACTAGTAATTTTATAATTTAAAGTCATTTTCATCCTGTCACGAATTATCAGTTTCTCTTAACGAATCAAAATAACCTGATTCCAAGTATTTTGCTTAATTAACCATGATACTTTTAAAAGACCTTTTCCTTAGATCTTTTTCTCTAAGAGAATTTCGATAAAAGTTTACTTATTAATCACTGCCCATTAAATATATTAAGGAAACACCCTGGAGCTAAACGTACATTAGAAGACTAAGGTAAACATGTTTTTTTTCCCTATACCTTTCCTCAAAGCATCCCACGTATTTTTCCCATATATTTTCCTAATCCTTAAATAATTATAAGCTTAAATGAGTACAGAAAAGCCCTGTTAGAATAATCAAATAACGCCTTAAAAAGTTACAAAAAATCCTGAAAAATAGGACAAATTACAGCAACTATATCCAAATTTTCATCTTGATTTCTCCTTTCCATGGGTTGCTCGTAACCGGCTTTACGGTTTTCTCTTCTCTCTTTCATGTATCAATTACAAGAGGAAAGTCTATTGGAACTTAGAAGTTATAGGAGTTATAGGCTTAGGAAATGCTTCAGAGTGTGAGATTTTATAGAATCATCTATGCTTCCTTTTGTTCTTAGTATTTTTTTTCCTCTTTACAGCATCACCGTTTATGGTAAATAATGAAAGAAAGCCTATACGTATTTTCATTATTATTTAAATTATAAAAAAAAAGATAGAAGCTAATATATTGTTATTTTGTCATTATTCATACTCTTTCTATCTTTCTCTCTCCTTCCTTTCCTCTTCTTTCTATCTTTGTTTTTGGTTTAACTTTTAGCTAATTATTTAAAGGATAATGACATTAATTAGAATAAATTAATTTTATTACGAAATAATGATATAGGAATGTATGCTTCGTATTTCGAAATGTTATCTTTATTTTATTGATTGCTTTTTTTTTTAAAAGAAAAAACTACCAGAAAATATTTTATATTTTATTATTTTTATTGTTAAAGCTTGTAAAGAAATGTGCTGGTCGTCTGAAATCTATTCAACACACAAACGGAAAGAAATTGATAGAAATATATTCGTTACACGACACTATTAATAAGGACACGCAAGGACCAGTTATTGCCTTTAATTTATTCGACGCCTCCGGAAACGTTATCGGATATAGCCGTGTCACCAAGCTGGCAAAAGTATTCAATATAGAATTTCGGACTGGATGCTTCTGTAATTTGGGAGCCTGTCATTACTTTCTGAAACTTTCTGACGATGAGGTTCTTAAGCAGTTTGATTTGGGTCACGTGTGTGGGGACGATAATGATCTCATTAATGATAAACCAACGGGTGCTATAAGAATTTCTTTTGGCTATATGACTTTATGGGAGGATGTCGAGAGATTCTTGAAGTTTCTAACTAACTTTGTTGACGAGAACAAGGTTCTTACCATTTTCTACTAGCGCCCTCAAACCATTCCTACGTTTCTTTTATCCTTTCTTTTAAAACAGTCCTACATTTAGCCATCTTAATTCTTCCATTCTCACGCGTATGAGTGTATGGACTTTCTCTATTTTTATAATTTACAGGCACAAAACTAGTCATAGTACTCTTCCATATTAGTTCTATTACGTAGTGGGGCCTGCTCACCACCCTGCTCCCATTTCCGGTGAAAAAGAATCTATTACTATACGAAAGCCTTGATAAAGCTTGATTAATACTTTGAAAGGCTTATTTAATTGTCAACTCATTACTAGATAAATTTTATTTACTTATTAATGGCTTTCTTCCCCGCCAAATAAATTATTATAGTAAGTTTAAAACGTATCTCCTAAGCCTCTCTAGTTTTCCCACTCATTCCCATCATCTTCAATAGAATATATAACCTCATAGATCATGGATATGACAGCTTCCTTTTAAAAATTCAATAGAAACATTGAAGTATGTAAATAAATAAAAGTGAAAATCTGGTTTTTTTGTGTATAGGACTACATGTTAAAAAATAAATCAGCTTTCCCGCCAATTAGTTAGGAAAGTTGTCAAATTACTATTTATAATAAATCATATGTAAGGCCGATAAATAGTTTATTCATGAAGGTCATAGCATTAATGAGTATTCATAAATTAATTTATTCTACTGTATATATGGTTATACTTTAAAAGTAATTTATAAATTTGTATACAATGTGCAAACTATACGTATTAATTATAAACTAAGGTCAGATATGCGTACATAGCTCTATTTCAAAGTATACTCTCCTTTTCAATGGTTAACTTTGATTAGGCCTATTTTAATTAATTTTAAAGATGAAACGAATATGTGAATGAGACGATGATATCTTTTTTGTTTTTTTTTCTTCCCTCAAGGAGACAACCCCAACTAAACACCAGGAAAGGGAATCTTGTTCGGTGGTTATCGAACGCATTTGCGTCTATCCGATTAAATCCTGCGCCGCCTTTGAAATAGTAAATTTACTTCCCCTCTCCTATTTTGGGATCTCTTTAAATTTTCCATTTTTTATAAATCTTTCTTTTTTGTCTACCCTTACCCTAGGATGGAAGCTGGCCAATTCTCAATCAAGAATTACTATACGATAGACAATGGATGATAATAACAGCTAGAGGAGATACTATAACTCAAAAGAAACACGCAAATTTATGCTTAGTTAAGCCAGAAATAGATTTAACTTTAAAAAAAATAACTCTGTCCTATCCAGGTGCGTGACTCCGAAATTTTAAATTAAGATTTAAGTATATTAAACTAATTAAGCCACGTCTCATTTTTCTTCAGGAGTAGACAACTTAATTATCTCTTTAAAGTAACTTTTTGTGAATTTAAACTACTATTAATTAATACAAACTAAAGTATCTTTATTTTTAACTATTATCAAAATTAAGATAAGAATCACTAATGAAAAGAAACGAAAATTTTTATTCTCAGTTCTCAATCTCTTCTCTCTCCCTCTCTCTCTCTCTCTCTCTTTCTCAGTTTATCTTATGAAAATTCGGCACAAAAAAATCTATTCTTCCTACTTTTTTACTCTTGTTTTTATTAGATAAATTTTTTGTCCTTAAACTTGTAAAGAATGAAAAGATAGTCAAAAAACTATTCCAAAGAGTTAGGGAGAAAGGAAGGGGGATGAACCAATGAGAGACATACAGATACAGAGAGACAGAGAGAGAGAGAGAAAGAGATAGCAAAAATGAGTAACTGTCATAAAAGTATTTAAACAAATTGTTACTTTAAAAAGGTCCGTTAAAGGACGAATTACTAGGAAGGCGACTGTTTGTGGAAAAATGTAAGTACAAGAGCCATCTACAGGAAAGAATAAGGGGAATTCTATTTTTGTAAATTCATTTTATCAATTCATTTGGATAAATAGTTATGAATGTCGAGTCGAAGAAGATTTATTCAATAATTTAGTATACTTATAGTTGATTAATTGGGAAAAAATTGTATATAGAATTAACAGGAAATGATAGTAATTGTCCTTTTTTCTATTCATCACAAAGAGTTGAGGGTATTGAAGAAGACGAAGAAGCTAGCGAGTGGTTTAATCAGATATTGGGACTGTCAGGTTGCCGCTTAATTCGAAGAATTCCATGTAAATAAGATAAAAATTAAGCCTTTCTACATAAATATTCAACATTGTAAGTCATTTAAAAGAAAATTATCTGTATTTTCATAAAGTAAATGAAGGAAAAGGCGATTTATTCAGTAATCAAGAGAAATTACTTTTGATCTCTAGAAGTAGTGTTCAATCGCTTCTTTCCCTGCCAAAATTTGGTAACTAAATTTGCACCAATTCTAGGGTTTTCCCTAATTGAATTATCTTCGACAGATGTAAGGGAAGAGGATCGATTCAGAGCAAACCTAATTGTGAGCGGTTCTCCACCCTTTCACGAAGAGTGCTGGAAGGAAATTACGATAGACGGGCTGAATTTAACAGTAAGTTTCAAGAATAGATTAGAAATCTCTAGATGGTGTGGAAATTGAAATTGAAACCGTCTCAAATCGGATTGGTAGAGCAAAAAACCAAACCACAGGCAGTCATTCATTAGACCGTCATGCCATCTGTAGTTTTTTATTTCAATCTTACTTAGAATCTAATTCAAACTAATGGAGTGTTTTTTGACTCAACTTAGAAAACAGGAGATTGTAAACGATGTCAAATGATTTGCATAGATCAGCATACGGCGAAAAAAGATAAAAATCCACTTCTGTTTCTTAATAGATTAAAGAAAAATAAGGTAAAACACACTAAACAATCCATAAATATATACAAGTAGTTTATGTTGTTTTTAATTATTTCGTTCAACTACAGCTAAATTTTGGGATTCTTCTATCAATCAACAATTCCGCAGATTCCTACTTGAAAACGAAGCAAAAATTATTGATATCATAGTTTATATAATAAAATATAACCTATATAGTAATTATATAACTTCATTTAAAAACTCAAAAAAATGTTGTTTAACAGTCACTGTATGAAAATAATGTATAAAATCTTATCAAAGTCTAATTACTGACAGAAAAAAGTGATAAAGTAATGTTTGAGGTTTCGTATCTCCTGCTCGACTTTTTTTTGTCTGTTTGCTATTTTTTTGGCAAAGAATGATGATCTTGGGACGACCAAGACTTTCGTTCTTAGCTTTTAAATATATATATATATATATTATACAGTATACACATATACAAATTATGCAATACATAATATTATTATGATTTAATCATTCAATTAATAAAATGATTGTCTTAAACAGTGTTTAATTAGAGCGACTTTTACGGTTGAAATAATAGAAAAGGCAGTGTTTTTTCAACACGATTATAGTCTAACTAAAAAAACCTGGCTAAACACGTGCAAAGATGAGTGAACCTTTGTAGCTCCTATGTTTAGAAACTTTAGCTCAGTTAGACTCACATTTTTGTTCCCTCGATAAATTTAGCACATAATAAAACTTGCCATTTAAATTATGCTATTTGGTGTAACGATTAAAACATAAGATATCTGTAAAAAAATGAGCAAACTCATTTTTTTAAGCTTGAAAAAAGTTGTCATTATGAGGTAAACATATTCTTTAGTTTTATAAATATAAAGGATACTACAGCAGTTAACAAAGTGGAAGAGGCTTTTTTCAAGAATGACTAACGGTTAATATATTGTTAACCTGTACAGAAGACATAACCAAAGACTGAATATCATGTATAAAAATCATTTACACCACTATTTTATGTACAACTAATCCTAATCGTGGTCCCATAAAAACACCATGACGTTACAAAGAAATAAATAGTAAATGAATCGTTTTCTGCATGTGATCCAACATATTTCACGCTAAATTCGCACAAAGAGACGTTTTACAGTTTTTTTTTAAAATTTGATATTATGTACAAAAAAATGATAAATTCCTATCCCTCATAGATTCAACCCACCCCTATTGGACAACTTCAAATTCACTTTCCCGTAACATTGAGCAGACTATTTTTTTAGCTTAACCTTTAATCCTTTATCGTTATCACCATTTAATACAGGCTCTAATTTTGGAAATTTTTTTGGTCTTTCTGAACTGGCTATTGGACTATGAGCTCTTTTTCTATCATCCTTATCTTTTTTATGCTTTTTATCTTTCCCTTCTTTATGCTTCTTTTTCTTTTTCTTTTTATCTTTGGAATTAGATGCCAAAGCAGCAGGATCATCGGGAGCGGTCGGTACTTTGATACGTATCGTAATCTTACCTAGCTCAAGCTTTTCTTTTTCTGAATCTTTTGGTTCATCCTGCTTGGGTGGGGACGATTCTGGTTTTACTTTGTCCAATGGACTTAATGGCTTTGGAAGGGAGGGCAAAGCGTCCTTAAGTATTTTTGACGGTTCAGTAGCTTCTTTTTTAACTTCGGGTATCTCTCTCTTAGGTTCTTGTTTCGGACCTGTGGCTTCTGGTTTCTTCACCTCCGGCGGTTTCGCCCTGCGTCGAATATTTGCAGGAGGTGGGGATCCGAGAGGAGTTCTTGGCGGAGCTATTTTTTTATGTGGATGGGACTGAGGGGGTTTGCTCATGCTTGGATTCCCAGAGGTATGATGATGATGGGTATTGTGATGATGGTGAGCCAAGACAGGTTCTGTTGATGTTCGTCGTAATGTGCTGGTATCGGTGGAAGGAAGATGAGGAGGTCTTAGTTTCCCTGGTGCAGAATTATGATGTTGATGTGATGAAGTTGCTGGCGGCACTTGAGGTTTCTGAGTTTCACTTGCTGTACTTGTCTTAACTGGTGGTTTGCTAACAGTCGTAGAAACTGGACTGTCAGAAGACTGGGGAGGTGAATCGCTTGGTTTTTTATTCTTAAAATAATTTCAATTTAACATATTTGATATATTTTATAAACATATCGCTTCATACCTCCCATTGCATAATTTTGCTTTTTAATTTACTGGGGCATTGATCTAAAACTGCTAGGAATTCGTCAGTCAGTTCTGTGTAAATTGAAATTGAATAAGGTGAATTAACATTATGAATTTGGTAATTATCTTTTAGCTTTTATATTTTTTTAACAAAATAAAATTGGATATCCTACTGTCAATCAATTTGTTCGTTATGCTCTTATCCGTGTAATGCCACCAAGGTTTTCCTTCGCTAGATTCTGGAATTTCCCAATTTGACCATTTACATGCCAAATGAATACAAACAACTGATACAACTTTAGTTTCGTGTTGTAAACATAAAGTTGTTAAATGTAAACTATTTGTTGCTAGAAAGTAAGATGTCTGAGCTAAATCTTTGGGAGCTGTAAAAATCACAAAATTTAAAAATTTAAAGTATACGAAGAAAGCTGTTTCTTTGCACGAATCCCTGAACCGCATTTAAGGTAAGAATTATCAACTAAATAATTGACAGAATAATAAAGCAATTTTTTAAACGAATGTATTCTTGATAATTGCTTCAACTCCCTTGAAGGAGTTTTTAAGAATATCATCCAAATAAATATTCAGGTATGGTTTTTTTAACTGTTCTTAATAATCTCGGCTCTTCGATTGGATAGACATAAAAGCTGAAATTCTTTGGTCTTGCAATGCAAACTTTTTATGAAAGTAAGTTTAGAAGAGATAGAAAAGTTGTATAATTACCTCTGACTAGATTGCATGTCTCCATAACGTGCATGTGAGGATGAGTGACAGTCAAATCAAATCCTGCACAAACTACTTTATAATCAATTGTGCCTTCCTATAAAAAAGCACTTGCCTAATGTTTGCAGTAAGAAACTCTCGTACTCGATTAATTCTTGACCTTTTTCACTAAATTCCTATAAATAATAAGAACGTTAAAAAATAAAATAATTTACAAATGATAATTAATTACTTTGCTTTTCACGTCCAGGTTCTTTGGATCTTTGTTGTGGGACATCATGTAGCTATATCGGACTAAGTATTCTAATTTTTTCGGTTGTTCTTCCACTTTGGCAGCCAAAAACAAACAAGCAAGGGAGACGGTCTGAAAATGCAGATATTAAGAGTTAATTTATTGTAAGTTTTAAAGAATATATCAAATTTTATCATCTTTATTAGAAATAAAGTACAGCTGCTATAATCATCTCATCTGCCGGTAAATTTAATCAATAATTCAAAATTGAGTTTTTCATTCAGATTTCGGTGAAATTAGGTTGTTTTACAGAAATTCTGAGCTTAAATATATTACATATGATAATTTGAAGTTAAACCTAAGGTTTTTTATATATATTACTTTAAAATTCACACGAAAACTAAAGATACTCAGGAAAGGTAGATCACGTGTTTTTTTAACTTGCTCAAGAGCAAAATATTGAAAAAAAGCTAATACTTACGTTTCTTGAAAACTTCAGGAAGGAATGGAACATGTAGAAACGATGCATATAAACTATAGCTGTATTTATACATAATTGCGTACTATCTAGTTAAGGAAATGACTCATCGAGAATATAATCCTGAATTTTAATTAATCTCTTCCACAGAGAAATAGGTATTTAGCTAACAGTCCCCTATTTGACCTGCTTACTGCATAAAATACTAAATAAGCCATACAATATATAGCGAAAGCCATCAACCTTTTTGACAGCATGCTGGAAAACGAAAAAAAAGGATACACTTGTAATTTTTGTCCTAAATCTTGAATTGTACTAGCAGCTTGTTGCCTATAATATAATTCTTTTTTTCCGTCTACTCCATCTTGCCGGGAAGGCGTATTTTGAAGTTGTTCGGCTGTAAAGATCCATCGTTTGCTACCAGCCGCCATTAATCCCTCCCGCATTGAATAATTTCTCGACGCTCATTGGCTAAAAAATTCTTCTTTCAAATGTTTTAAAAAAAATTAAAATACGAGAAAATAAAGAAAAAACATTTATATCTACTCGCTGAAATAAATTTATAATAAATTTTAGAAAGGTATTTTTTGTCGCGATTTTATATTAAGTATTATTGAATTGTAGTCCCGCAATTAAGATTACGAAGCTTCCTTTTGGATCGGCCATCAAAATCTCATACGCATCACCGTTTTCTCGATAAAAGGAACGGTAATCGTGTGATATTTTATGTAACATTCCAGGTAAATACATAATAATTTATTTAGCTAGCAAGGATTTAAAAATTGCGTGAATAGGAAAATTCATATTATCTTCTAATTTTCAAAGACTAGTAGATGGCGTTACTTACACACCCGCCAAAATTTTCAGATTAACCGTTAATGGATATATATTGTGCCTATCCACACCGAGTGTGTCTCCGAAATAAACACGATGGATACGACTATTGTACAAGCCATTTATTAGAAGACAAAAATAGTCAATTGCAGCAATGTACATATACCGATGCCAAAACTGCACGAAGATGCTGTAAGCCGACTCTGCGGAGTGACCGAAGTGGTTGTAAAGAGCTGTAAGTAAAAATTATTAGTTAAAGATAGCACTCATCTAAAGTCATATGATATTTTTATAGAATGTGCTACGATCATTTAAAAAAGACACAAGCTCAAAGAAGAAAGTTGAAGAAAAAACGCGGCGTAAAAGATACGCCTGACAATTTATTAGGACAACTGGATAAATATGCAGTTAAAAATCCAACAAGCATTGATCCAATTCAAGAAAGTTTAGCCAAGAAAGTTTTATGTAAGAATACTTCCAATATTTCTTATTATAAAGTGTATAATTAACTAAAAGAATAATGAAATATTATCTTAAACTAATTTATATAAAATCTATATAAAATATTAAATCTATTTTTGTTTATCCTTTTTTTCTTTCAACAGGTGAACCAAATGGGTCAGACGAATCAGATCTCGAAAGTATGTGTGTTTCTAACACATGGACTGGAGAAGATGATAGCGACAATGACAGCTTGGACAATGAACCTGCGGAGCCTCTAAAGTGCTTATTAATTTCATTTATATTAAACAAAAGACTCAGTTCATATCAAAAATGCCAATTAAGAGCAATATTTCGTTTATTAGCAATGCGGGAGTATATACACCTGAAGAACTTGCAACCCTAATGAAAGAGAAGCTTATGAGACTACAAACATTATATATAGAACAATTTCGCTATTTACAAGTTTGTATTAAAATATATATATATGTATATATGCATATCTTTCTAATAGGACATTATTTACGAAGTAATTGTATATTTATTGCTCCTGTTTCAGTACGAATTGAAGCAGAAGAGAAGAAAGTATATGTTGGCAAGAAAAATTGAAGCGGAAACAGGCTACGGAAGTACGAGACATGCTAAATATGATCCCGAACAACGTTATGACTACGAATGCATGAAGGCGATGAAGAATTTTCATAAGCCATCCGGAATTGTTAGTAAATCTATCACAATAAAATTCTTTTGTATTATATCTTTTCTTTAAGAATAGTTATTATTAAAACATTGATTAATTGAAAGAAAAATCTGAGGGATCTTTGAGCAGGGATTTAAATAGATTATCTTTCATTATCTTTTACAAGTGAAATGAATTTTTTTAATAAGTAAATTGTTATCAGGAAGCATTGCTGCACGAAGCTCAAAAGAACAAAGGAATTGAAAAGAAGATCGATGACACTGAACTCTGCGTCCAAACTAATTGTCAAGAGCCAGTCCTGCCTGCCACCAAGCACTGCTTGCAGCACATTTTAAGTGATTCTGAACAAGTAGTAAGTGACTATCTTCAAAATCGAAAAGTCTTGTTTAGTAACTGTTTTTGTTTGATTTTAACAGCTTTTTTCGAAGTGTTTAAGAGAAGATTGCGGAAAACCTATTATCTCCCATTGTCCCGACCTTGTATTTTGCGAAGATCATATATTACCACCAACACTGCAAAGTTCCAACTTGCCTAACGAAAATAATCAGACGAAATTGGATTCGTCTATGTTGGACGTGGAGCAGGATTAAAAATTGTTTTGACTGTTACATATAGCGTATAAAAGCTGTTTTTTTCAAAAGAAGAAAAAAAGCATGCTGTATGGATTCTCTTCTTAAGTCGTATTTTTTTAAATGTAAAAAGGTGTACAGATATGGATGTAAAATATCTCAAAGTTACTCTGGTGAAAGAAATAATAATCTTTAATAAATTTTCTTTTACCAAAAGCAAATATTGATATTAATTATATAAATGGTTCAAAGTCTTAACTGTTATATCATTAAGATTATTGCATTCTTTCCAACTGTAAAATTCCACTTGATACTCTCTCCTGTACATTAAGAAACCGTTTTCCGAAAAATAACCCTGACATTCATAAACTTCTAGCCAAACGTAGGCAGCAATGTTATCAGTAGATAATTCAATTGTAAACTTGGTTGCTGTTTTTTTAGTTAAGTCCTTAATTTGTATTTTGGGTTTAGGAAGATTAATGTCTTTATAATAGGCGAGAGGTATCCAATTATACAGAATTATATTGTCGGAAGTGGCTTCAAAGACAAGAAAGAGTTCACTTTTCGAAGCATTTGCCATTTGTAACAGTTGTCTAATATTTTGTTGATATATTTCCGCAGAAGAATAAATTGGCCGTTGGATATTAAACTTTTGAGATGCAATAGGATTTAAAGAACTCCATTTGAAGACTATTACTTTTAAAACTAAAAGACTCTTTTTGACATAGTTTCCGGGCTCTAGGTTTAGCAAAGACCTAAATCTTAGATTATTGTCGTTTGTGTCATTATTGGGTAAGATATCCTGTAGAAAATGTAATTTAATAACATCATTATCTATATAACTTGAAAGAGTCGGATTGGAGTAGAATCTCCTGGCGAAATATTGTAACATCTTCCACTTGCCGAGATAATCTATTGGATAGAAGCATAGTATAATAGAATATATTTACTATTTGTTTAGTTTTTTAAAGTGAAAAAAAGACCTATTGAAGACCACGTTGGCGCTTGCCAAATGTCATTTAATTGCCAATATAGCGTTCCCATAGTATGGCCTTGCCCTTTACTGTTGAAAAAATTTTGCATACGTCTCATTAGTTCGGCTTCTGTCCGTATTCCTTCAGCTTGGTTAATCTAAATGTGAAGAAACGGAGAGAGAGGAAAATCATTTATATTTATTAAAGAGAATAAAAATGCAGTATAATATCAATATATATTGTATATATATACCTACTAACCTGTGTAAGAAACATAAAATCTTCAAAATATTTTTTGGGGTCTTTAGATTTTGGCAAATCTTTAAAGTGACTCTGAATTTGAGCATTTAGTTCTTTAGTACCATTCGGATGATGCTGTCTATTACTAGCAACTGAACTATTGATGAACCAATCCGATTTGTCGAAAGCCGTGTTCATAGTGTAACTTGACGGCCAAGATTGCAAACCAAATTCTGATAAAAACCGTGGTATTGGATATATTGTCCAATTCCAGCTATCACCTATATAATTATAGTAATGCACGTCTCCATAAAGTGGGTCTTGAGGATTATTGGCAACCCAATTTTGTTTCTCAGTTAATAGACCGTTTGATGGACTGGTTTCGTAATAAAAGATAAAAAAGTAGCTTTGAGTTGTGTGATATGATATCAGGGTGATAATGCAAATTCCTTACCTAGAAGGGGTAGAAGGACGAGTGGAGTCTTTTTCGACAATTCCCTTGATGGTCTTAATATATAATTTAATATAATCCTCATAGTATTGGCGATAATTATTCGAAGTGTTGTACCAATTCTCTCTTAGTGCAGCTTCATTTTCGTTATTAAACGACCATACAGTTATAGATGGATGATTTGATAACCTTAAAACTTGATAGTCAATTTCCCTTGCCACATTAACAAGAAATTCTTCATCTTTTGGATACATACTACAAGCAAACATTAAATCTTGCCATATCATTATTCCGTATTGATTGGTCAATTGATAAAATTTGTCTGATTCGTAAATTCCACCTAAAATTAGTGGAATATATAAATAATTATCTCTGAATTAAATGAATTATTTATTTGATTGCAAACCTCCCCAAACTCTTAAAGCATTCATTCCTGTAAGTTTAGCTGATTTTAATAGTAACTCTAATTTTGCAACGCTTATTTCATTGGGAAAACTATCAGCTGGAATCCAATTTGATCCTTTAATATATATTGGTAGATTATTTATTTTAAAATAAAAATAATCTCCTTTTTTATCGTTCCCAATTGGATTTCGTATAAGTTCTATTGTTCTAAATCCGATTTCAACTGTTTTTTCAGTACTTTCGTCAGAAGTAGTAAACTTGATAGTTAGATTGTACAGATTTTGCTTTCCATAGCCATTAGGCCACCACAGCTTTATTGGCTAGGTGTCGAAGAGGAGAAGGCAAGGAAGGACAAAGTTAAAATAAAACTAAAGAGCGGTATCTATTACCTCTTAGAATGTTTGTAAAATCTTAAGTTAAATAGATTCGAAAATTAACTTACTCGGATGACATGCATTGAGAAGTCGTATTTATGCTCATCAGCAAACAGTACTACGTCATTGCTTACTTTAATAACATTGGCGATGGATAAGGTTAATTTTCCTTTTTGAGCCAAAACTACGTTGAAATATAGAGAGCCTTTAACAAACCAGCCCAACTTGGCTATCACAAAGAAGTTTTATATAAATATGCAGTGTATATACAGTAGTATAGTACATATTATATTACTATCTATATTATGCATATATACAGTATATATATTATATACTATACTGTATATAAATGATAATAAAGCTCTTTAATATTCGACTTATTTAACATTTTATAATCGAATTGGTCGAGACCGAGTTTTACTAAAAAATGTACCAAACATAGGCGCCATCTATTGGTCGCTTTATTAAGTGTTAGATAATTATAAATTGAAAATTCTACCGTCTTTGACAGGATAAGCGACAATTTGAGTTAAAGTAGCAGAAGAGTAGAGTCTTAGGTAGACGCTTTTCCAAATTCCTACTCCGGGAAAAGCTGGACCCCAATCCCAACTGAAACTGGACGCTCGTTTTCTGATAAAGTTAAAATTGCATTCTCCATTTTGCACAGTTGGAGGGCACTTTGGAGGAACGTCATAAGAAAACCTCTTTTTATATTGAGATGCTTTTGCAGCTGAATATTTGATAGGAGAAGAAAACTTTACAGTTATACTGTTCAAGGACGCTTTCAGCAAGCTTTTTATGTTAAAAGAGTAGAGTCGAAACATATTGGTTGCTTCATAAATCATTATCTTATTTATATAGATTTGGGCAATTGTATCTAATCCCTCGAAAACTAGTTCAATTTTTCCATGTTTTATGTCGTCTTGGGAGACTGGAATAGAAAGAATGGAAAAATACAATAATGCTAAGCTTCTTTATCTTATTAGTTTATACTAAGCTAATTGATTTTGGTAAAACCTGTAAAATTTCTTGTATAAGTCCAATCGTCAACTCTACTGACCCATCTGTATTTCTGATCATTATCTCTGTAATATAGTGGCTTTTTAAGTATACCATGCGCTCTTAAGTCTGTGTAGACATTACCAGGAACAGTTGCAGGAATATTTGTCAAGTTTTTGCCTGTAAATTTAATTGTTGTTGAATGTAATTTTCCTTTTAAAGACGAATTAAGTGACAATTCTTTATTCTATCTTACTATTTGATCTAAGAGACCATAAACCATCCAGTGGAATATATTTTTCGCTATTTATTTCAAGTATTACTAAAAATATAATAAAGAATTTCATTCTTCTCCTTTTTTTTCTATCAAATATCAAACTAAACAATCACATGATCTGAACGGCACGTGACAAATCATGTGATACAAGTAAAAGTAGACAATATAGGCTAGACAAAGTAGGCTAGATAGGCATGGAAAATACATTCTGTATTATGTGATGGAAAGATGGGAGAGGGACGATAGGAAGATTACTGTTAAGATAATAATTTCATAAACTAGTCCTTAAATTTATTCTTTGTTCCCCTATTTATCTTTATCAAGGTTTAGCATTGACTCCCTAAAGCCTGTCATCGTTCGGCTATGGATTAAGAATTCTATCTTAGACCGACAACATTTAGGTCAAAGAATAAAAAAAGCAAGATGTGCTGTATTTTAAAAAGAGTAACATCTATATTAATAACTTTAAAAAAGAAATAAAATGTACAGAATAAAGTAAATAAAGAGAATCCATCCAAGAGAACTGTTAATCCACAATATATATCACAATTCAGTAGCATTTCGTTTCAATGTTATACTTTTGATTAAATGAAAACTCTTTTAACAATTGCAGTCACTTTCAAAAACTATTTTCTTGGAATTCTCCTAATTTAATCTAATTTTCTTTTCTCTCTGCCTTTCATATCGTTAAATAGTATTTAAACTCTTAAATTTCAAAAATTAATACTTCCTAAAAATCTTCAAAGAGGGAAGCGAAAAGATTTGTAATCTTTTTAGAGAGAGCAATAAGATTATTATTCGATTATTTTGAAAGAGTAATAAAGTTATCATTTCAAATAATTTCTTATTAATAATTTTTAAAGTTGTTGTTTTATGACTTTTAAAGGAAAAAAAACAAATATTTAAAGAACGAATGTATTGTACTATTAAATTTTCTTGCAATATTTATTTCATATTTTTGTTAGATGAAAAGAAAATAAATACTGATTTTATTTGTTTTGTTGCTTAAATAACATAATAAATGTAGATCAAGTGCGTTATAATCATCAACAAAATACTGGTGCGAGATAAATTGTTGTTATTGTTGTTTTCTTTTTTTTATCTAAAAAGCAGACACAGTTATCAATACAAAAGATATTTAATGGTAAAATTTAAATACATACTGCATATCAATATACAGTATATGTATATGTATATGCAATTCCTACAAGTACTTGCACATTTATACTTTAATCAATTTCTGTACATTTTACATGCATATTGTATCTGCCATAAAACTCAAAATAAGAAAAAGTTATATATCTAATAAGATATTCATACTTTATATATGTATATATACATATATATATGTATATGCAGTAAAAATATATTCTTCCCTTCTTTTTGGGTGTCCGAAAATTACTGACAGCATAATTATTAAAATAAAACAACAGTAGTAGAATAAGATATATGTATATACTGTATATAATTAACAAAACAGAAAATTTATATAATTCTCATACCAATAAAACAAGTATTTTACATATAGACTTCATGATAAATCATTATATTATATATTACTAGAAAAATGAAGACAAAATGAATTATTTATATTCGATTTTACACGTTTTCCCTCTCTCTCTTTTTGTTTATATTTTAATAATTTTCAGTGAATGTAAATGAAAGATAAAATAGGCCTGAAGCTGAGAAAAGGCAGGATAAAACACTATATACAGAATACAGAAAAAAAAGGAGAGAGAGAGAGAGAAAGGAGAAAGTGAATAGTTAAGGCACACGTTAAATTCCAGTCATGGTTACTGCCTTTTTTTGCAGTAAACATTCTAATTATTTTACCAGCTCAACATTTTTTAGTTTATTTAACAAAAAAAAAGAAAAATATCCAAGAATATAAAGAAAGTTACTTATAGTAGACTTACGATGAGAATTTAAGTAATTTGTAAATTATTCTTTTAATAGATATCTTTAAATACTGCATAGTTTACCAACCGTTTTTTTATCATGCATAATTTATTGTTTTATGTCATAATACTTACATTATGAAGAAAAAATTAATGCTTTTTATATTTTCTCAATTGATTGTGTCATATTATTTGGAATAACCTTATTAAATTTTAGCTTTCTTTTGTATGAATTGATGATTCTGAAATGGTATTGATTATTTTTTCTTTCTCTATGGATAAAACAACTATTCAAACATTGTTTCTGTCGTTAAAAAAAAGTAATTGATTTGAATGAAACACAAAAAGTTTTCCTTTTTTTTTTCCCTTTGAAAATATTATTACAAGACAATATGATGGATTGGGAGAAACACGAATATTTGACAGTTATATTGTCAATTATTACTGAGAAGGGATTATTAGTAGCCCTTAAGTACTTTAATATGGTTATTTGTCAATTTATATTTGTTGAAAGAATTTATCAAGAACAATAATAGGCTTATTTCGGGTTGTTTAATGACCTGTAATGAATTGTTGATAAATAACCATTATTATATTTAAAGGCCGGAAGCAATACTGGAAGATCCTTCCGACGTTTCCTCTTTGGATAAAATAAAGCCCTATAATTTTTAACCCCATGAAAAAGTAAATGGATTTCATTATAGAAAAAATTTCCGGACACCCACGTCCTAAATTGTTGTCGTTTCCGTTCGGCTACCATCGACAACTCCATTAATATTACTACGATGTCTTGGACTCCCATCAGCCAATTTCCGGTACTCCTTTTCCCGTTCGTCTCTTCTACTCTCTGTTCTCCTCCACCTTTTTAAGCATCTTGTACAGAACATATCGAGAAAAGCATCTCTAAATAGTTTGTTAAAAATAATGTATAGGAAAAAGTTAATAGCTGAATTAACACATAACAAATAATCTGTAATCTCTCTGACGGCTCTGACTCTTGCTGGTTCTTCTGTGTAGCCAGTGAAGAACGACATAATAGCATCAGGACATATGAATAATAGGAAAAATATAATAACAATGATAAGCATTGTAGTTATTCTGTTCCTGGACGCCAATTTCTTATTTGCTCTTGTTTTCCGAAGAGCTCTTATAATAAAAAAGTTCATAACAATAAGAATGAAGACAGGAATTATAGATCGGATAAGGTTTTGAATCCAATTGATAGCCGTTACGAATTTTTTATTCTCCCATAATTCAGTCACTTTTACAGATGGCTCACTAACATTTCGACCATTTAGTACTTTAAATTGGACACTTTTTTCATATCTAAGAAGGTAAAAACAACGAAATATAGAGTCATATATAATATGTAAACTTGAAGGAATGATATATGAATGAAGTGCACATGGATCGAATTAGAAGAGCGAAAGGTTCAACTAAAAAATATGCAATTTTCGCATAAAAGGTAAAAGGAAGAGAGGAGAGAAAGAAAGCAAATTTTTACTTTAATATTTCATATTACGGAATATAAAAGCAAGAGAAAATTGATCTTTTTTTTCTTTCCATTTGGTAGACTAAGCCCTAACTGAACATTTTTAATAATTTTTATATCTTCAAGGTGACGATTATAACCTCTCTCTCTCTCTCTCTTTTTAATGGAATACGAGACGTTTTGTTTCGCAAGGGAAATAAAAACTATCATAGTGCTAGATACTAATGTCTCTTTTCATACAATTCTTTTGACTTTGTTTAAAATATTTATTATGAAAATTATTAATAAATTGTTAGATTAATTTCCAATGTATGGAACATGGAAGGAATAATTATATACTCTTTTTCTTCTTTTAGATGATTTCTTAATTCCCTAAGGTTTACGATTGCTTTTAACACTGTCATCCCCCGCTAAAATAACTACCACTTCCGGTTGAGATTCTTAGGGGAAATTCTATTCGCTTTTTCGGTCAAGCATTAACTTTTTAATTGGAAATAAATTTAGAATTTCTCTTATGTTATACTTTTTTTGTTTTTGTTATAATGATGTTGTAATGAGATTAATTAAAAAGACTAGATTTCATTATTTTACCTTAGCATGTGCGGTATGTTGAGCAAGACAACGATAATATAGATGCTTGCTGAAAAAATTTTGGCCTTCTTTATCGATGTCCACGTCTTTGACCGTGTGGGATGGCAAACAAGAATATATCTTTCAACTGCCACACTGACTGTCAACAAGGCTGAAACGCAAGTGGAATATCCAAATATAAAATGAGCGTATGGATACATATGAACATAGGCTAAATGGTGGAGATCATCGTCAATTTCTTTAAATAATACTACCAGGAAGTAGAGAAAATCGTTGAATACTTTTAAGAAATCTGATACGGCTAATGCCATAAGGTAAACATTAGTTGATGATCTCATATTCTTTTGCGTGAAGATGATGATAATGGCGGCATTTCCAACAACTCCCGGTATGCAGGTGATTGGAGTGAAGAAAAGACCAATCATCCACTGGACGGTTTCGTAAAACTTTATGTCACCATCCGTGTTGTTTAAGGGAGTATGTCTTGTCGTAAATGGGAAAGAGGTCGACATAATCTTGTTCTTGATCCCCTTCTCTTAGCTGCGAAAAAGAGAAGAAATATAGCATGTGATGTATTTAATATGAAATTGGTGTAAATCTGTTTTATTTTTTATAATTTACAGTTATTTATATACAGTATAAATAAAGCATATATATAAATTTATATATATATATATATATATATATGTTTATAAAGTATATTTTATAACCTTATATTTTGTTAGAGCGTATGCAATGTATACATTTGATAAGAATCTAATTTTTATCCTTTTCAATAGTGTTTTTAACGAAAAGGTAGGAAATGACACGGAAGAAAGCTATAACAAATAAAACAAAATTGATCTGGAGAGCCATCTATGGGATCCTATACTCTTCCCTTTTTCTTTACATAATAAAACTTTTCTCTGGCATTTTACTTATTGTTAGGCCTATACTTTTGTTTTTCTTTTTACATTCAATAGGAAATGGACAATACTTCTTTAGATTAGATTATATACAAACCGTATCCCAATCACGAAGGTTAAATAATGATCTAAAGGGGATTTCGAATTCAAAGCATTGTCACTATTTACTTCATAGTGGATCCTCTAAGTCGTTTATTTGTCTTTCTTCCTCGAAATACCGACTGACTGATGAGT